GCCGCATGAAACTGCAATTGCTATGGCCTTGAAATTGCAATTCTGATGGCTGCTGTCTGTTGCAGTTCCTGACTTGCAATCTCAAACAAATTCATTGAGATAAAAATAATCTTACTGAAACTGATATGCATTACTAGGTAAAATTTGAGTTTCTGACAAAGCAAATGTATGTAGCCATGAAAATTGCAGGTAGATTTTATCCAGTTTTTGAGAAAGTTTTTATATACCTCTTTAGCCAACATCAATAAAACTTAAAAGGTTTCGCCGCATATTAACACACGAATCGAATGAAAATATCAATTATTGCATGTTACAGTAAAACATCACTTTACAATTATATTAAGATATACAATTATGTTCAGATTTCCGAAGCACAAATATTGTCAAAATTCCATTAAGTATACAACTGCTAGAGAATAACTGACTGACGTTAAATTTCCGGATTAAAATCTGCTAAAAATATTATAAATGTCCCAACCGATGATGTCCTCACAGCAATAATTACGTGTTTCAACAGATTGGCAATACAAAACAACATTACCAGAATTATTTACTTTTATGATCTGTCACTTAAGCTCTTGCCGCCCAGATGGTGTAGTTGTTAGGGGAGCTTACCCAACACCTCCTTATAGAAGGAAGCCGGGACACTGGATTGTGACGTCACGCGTAGTCGTCTATGTCGAAACCCCGAGAGAGCAACGAAACAAAACAGGCTGCGCGCTAGTGCCGTACTTAACGTTGATTTCACTATTTGATATAGATACTTGGGTGGGATTTTATTCAGAGATTCAATTATATATAATGAATAATTTAATTACTTCAAAATTTAACACAAATAAAATTTGACATAAATTTAAGAATTTTTGTTTTCTTATTTCTTGACTTTAATGAATTATACTTCCTTGTAGGTTTCACAGCAGCATTTAAAAAGTTAAAAACAGCCATACTAACTCAAAAAGGAATTTCTGACTTTTTCCCTCATAATTTAATATTTAAAGTTGCCTTTCTTAAAAGTTGCCCTATATTTTTCCAATATTCATGTATAAAAAGGTTTTACAAATTATCTGCATACAAACTACTACTTATCTCATTTCATTTTTCTTCAAATCAGTAATTTGTTCTTTAAAAGAAAATGGTTATAAAAATGTACTAAATTTTGAACTATAATATGCTATGTATCTTGCAAGTTTCAAATAAATTAGTATATTAGAGGTTTGCCTCAGCAAATAATTTCAATGTGCAATTTAAAATTATTATCTTAAATCTGTAGAACCAATAATATTAGTTGTATATGTACTTAACTTTGTATTATGTTAGTTATATATCTGAACTTGAAAATAAAAGATTCACAAGTGAAAAATAATTAAATTTTTATTTACAGTTTTATGCAAAACAGTCAGTATAACAACGTAACACCTAAGTTATAACCATACAAATAACAGGATGCCAGCTGATCTCTTTTATTTTCAATAAATTATTCAAAAGTTTTGTGAAAAATGAGTTCAAAATTGTAAGCAAATTCATTAAGAATTGCATACACAAAATCTCATTAAGCATATTGCCATACACAGGAAATCTCATCAATTCTTATTTATTAATAGTGCACGAAAATTTCAAAAGTTGCTTCTATATTAACCTAGGGTCTCATCAGAAACAATCAGATGAGACTATGTGACCTAAATATTTAAATTCTGGTACTGCAACTTCAAGAATTTTCTATTCGTTAAATTTCAACCCATTTTGTCTGGCAATTACAAAACACCATTATTAACTTTTTACAACAGCCAGATCAAGAGTTTCACAATGTATTAAGATACTGCCCGTAATATGGATAAATATCGGGCAAATATCTTGAAAAGACTGTCCATTACCATTTAAAACACTTCAAGTGCACGAATGATATTAAATTTTATAAGATGGCTATTATTATTTATGAAGTACATATAAAGGCTTTATAAAGCATTCAACAGTGGGTGGACGTCAGCAATCACCAGTATATGTAAAAACATTTATTGATGTTGTGTAAAGTAAATGATTATCACTTAATGTTTCAAATATAGAAAAAAAAATTTAAATGCTTACATATGCACCAGTATTCCAATTTGAAAGTGTATGGTCACTGCATGCAACACAATTTGTTGTAATTAATTTTTCCAAGCTAAAATCATGATCTTCTAAGATACTTGCTATCAGGCTTGTTTAATTTAAGCAAAGAAAATATCAAAATGATTTGTCCAGAAAGCCACCAGTGTTAATTATGGGACAACAGGTAACTTTCAAAACGCAGATGAAAATCACATGTTTGTGAATTGAGTGCTTCTAATCTTGAGACAACCCTTTATCCAGCCAATTCCCAGAATAATAGTAGGAGTTATTACAAACCTGCTATTTTGTCGCCATGCTGAAACACATAACTGTTGTCTTGATGAAGTAATTTATCATATGTTAACACTAAAATTATACTCAAATGATAAAAGTAGTGGCCACTTAAGACACAACATAGACCCTTTTTTATACAACAACAAATTAAAGGAAAGGAAATGAATTTTTCAATATCTTTTCAATTTTTTAAGTGTAAAACAGTCAGTACATGCCCATAAAAAAGAAAATATAAAATATAATGACCCATTCTCAGTATAAAAGCAGCAGTTACCATAAACTTGTCATCTGTAAGCATGCTGAAACACAACTTTTATCATGAGAAAAGCATTTTACAGTATGTTAACACCAAATGATAACCACTTACTAAACATTAAGTGGTAGCCATTTAAATACACAACAGATACCATTTTATGCAGCAAACCTCAAACAGCACGAAAATGAATTTTTCAATATTATCATCTTTCAAGTGCTCTGAATATAAAAAGTCAGTGCATGTCCATATGAACAAAATTATAATGACCCATCCCAGTATAATAGCAGCAGCTATTATAAAACATACAATTTTCTAATCATGCTGGAAACATAACTGTTACCTCGATAAAACATTTTACCATTATGTTAACACAAAAAATTATATCAAATGATAAGAGTAGATGGCCACTTAAAACATAACCCACACACATTTTTATGCGATGACAAATTAAAGGCAAGGAAATTCCTTCTTCAATATTTCAAGTCATAGAGTGGATATATATATAAATATATTTTATATACGTTTGGTGTGGCCGATTGCAACCAAATACGAGGTGCACATATACATGTTATAGCAGTCCTATATACAAAATTTCAAACGTTCTGAGGCTACTCGTTTTTTGAGTTATGCGCGATACATACGTACGTACGCACGATTCGTACGTAATTCTACTTCATGTATTACGTATGTATGTATTACGTATGAAACAAAATCTCTTCCGAATCAATTTTAAGTCAGTTTTATAATTTTTTTGGGAAAAAAAAAGAGTCCTTTATTCTGTCCATTACGTACAGACGTCATGGTGCAAAAACATCGTTAAATTGCATTCGATAGCGGTCAAAATGGATATTTTCGGTGATGAATGAAATATGCTGCCTGAAACTTTTCGCGATACAATACTTCCTTTTTACTTCGTACAAGGAAGTAAAAAGGACATGCCTTCTTCAATATTTCAAGTCATCTAAATATAAAACAGTCAGTATATGTTCATATCAACAAAATTATAATGACCCATTACCAGTATAACAATGGCAGTTATTATATACATATCATTTTGTACCCATGCTGAAACATATCACTTTTATCAGGAGAAAGCATTTTACCATATGTCAACACCAAACTTATTTTACTATATTTTACTGTAAACTATATTTTACAATTCTGCCTGCCTCTAATGAATGGAGACTTTTTATGCATGCAAATGCCGCTGTTTCGACCTTGGAAAAATTTTCAAAACTTGGATAAAATAAACATTGCCCAGAAGTTTTTTGATTTATCCAGTTGTTCCTGACACACTTCAAGATGTGCACTGAGTCAATAAAAAAAATAGTGGCCGAGATAAGTCTGCAGGGTTTTTATACACAATACTAATTTTTGGAGGCATACAAAATAATGACATGGCTTTTTTTTTTATTTATTGAATTATTGTCAGAGACAACTGCCACAATTCTATAACCTATATTTTCTAAACCAATTATAATTTTCTTAAGATATTGATACAGATCCTCAGCATTTAATGATTTAACTGGTAATATATGTGCCACATCCTTGAAAGGTGATAATAAGCTACGTATCATAAAAACATAAGCACTTGTAGCAGCTTTTCACAGTTGTAGGCCATGCCACACAAATTTCCTCCTTTAAAATCGAAACATGAATTTTTAAATGCACTTCATCCATCATAATAATTACAGTTTTATCATTTTCTTCTAAATCCTTGCATCTTTGTTTAACATATCCTAAAAAGTCATCATTAAATTGCTCAGTAATAGGATTAAGAGAAACGTTTGAACAAATTCTACGAATAGTACGTGGATGGGGAATAGAAATGTAACCTGAATGTCGTAAAAACTTGTATGCATGCGGTGAGATCGAGTTTAACAAACTGCAAAAAATAAGTAAATCTGGAGTATATCGATACTTCTCTTTCTTTACATTTAGTTTATTTACTTGCTCTGAAAGGAAGTTCAGTTCAGTTTCTTTTTCAGGTAACACTCTTTTCAATTCTGAAAGCATATCATCCACAATTTGTATAGAATTCTTAATATATTCTTCATTTGTAAGTTATGAGACAGACTTTCAACTTCCTTTAGTACTTCTAGAAACATATTTACATTACTAATTTTTAGAGGGAAAACAAATTTACCAATAGATTTTATAGCGATGTTTTTAATATAAAACACATACTGTTAAATCCTCATTTATTACTACCGATTTCTGAATTTCTGGAGCTGGGTCACTTAAAATATCAAGTAACATAGTTGAATTTTCAGTATGTACAGTTGTCCAAAATGTTTCTAAAATCTGATGTTCTAGGCAATTATTGAATTCAATTAAACTTTCAAATGATCGTTCATTATCATACCGTTCTTTCATTTTCAAACTTTCTTCTATCGCTTTCTCCAGGTATTTCTCTTCTAAACGAGCTTTCTTCTTTTCTGGTGACATTCTCGATACAGAATTTGATGACATGTAGGATGGGCCATCAGGGAACTGAGAAGGTATGCATCCTTTTTTCAAACGTGGCCTAGAAATTGGGGCTTTAATTAACTTCGCTGATTTCTCATCATACATTTCGATTTCTCGTATTATTTCATCTGATCGAAAATGTAATTCACATACCTATAAAAGAAAATATTCAAAAATCAACTTGTTGTGAGTACAAAAGTTAGATGCATGTTAATATTTAGTAACAGAAGTCAATAAGCCCTATGATTTAAATAAATAATTTGATATACTAAATACGAATTAAAAAACCAGTAATATCATTTCAATTACGTGTATAATTTAAGTAATTTGTAAAATCTGGAATGCTCATCATAATGATTACAGCTTTATTTACATTTAAAGAAAATTATATATTTGAGATAATTGTTTTACAACAAACACTGGTTACCAAATACAAATAATTACCTTGAATACATCATACCAAACTTTCATATATCATTACAAAAATTTTAAAATGAAACCTATTATGATTACTTAGTAGTTCCTTGTCATATAAATTATGATAAATTTGGAAGAATAACTACAGAATCTGCCTGCACAGTATACTAGAAAGCATTTACAAATTATTGGCATTTATGTAACTACTAAATTTAGAATTATTCCTGTTATATGGAACTTTATTTCATTCATAAAACTTTGAAGGAAAATATTTTTTTGAAATGATTAAAACAGGCAAGATTAAAATCTTTCAAACATAAAACTTCTTACCCACAGATCAAAATCTAATATCGTAAGCATAAACATCACATACCTATCAATAAAAGTAATAAAAAAATGTAAAGATACAAAACATAAAAAATGCAGTAGTAAATTGAACTTACTCTGGTATGTTTAGTAGGTTGAAAGCCATCTTTTCTTCGTAGACTCCTTATCCATTTCATCCGGAGTTCAGTCTCATTTGGACGAAAACTTGAATACACAGCCACTTTTGGTCCGTTTTTATAATTACCACGACATGTGGCTACAGCACATTTATGAGGCATCGTATGAAATTATAAAAGCACGAGACAATATATAAAAAAAGCACGAGACAATATAAAAACTCTGTCGCTAACGCAAATAACCGCTCCACGTTCATCGCTCTTGGCTCAACTACGGGGCTTTGATTTTGTTTGAAGGAGCGAGGTGAGTCAGAGACGACTACCTGTGACGTCAGAGCTTCCCCTCGCTTCAGTGTCCCGGCTTCCTTCTATAAGGAGGTGTTGGCTTACCGCGGTACCGCATGGCACGGGTTCGAATGCCGGAGAAGGCGTGAATGTTTGTAAATGTATAGTGTCTTTGCGACATGAGGCACTCTAAATATGTAACGAACCGAATGTCCTCTCGTGTGGTTTTGTGGTAGGGAAGAGGGATGGGAGACCCTCGTACCACCCCCAAGGAGCTCTCGCTCAAAATTGGGGTGGAGAGTAGAAGTCCAGCCTCCTTGAGGCTCTGGCAACCATTCTTCCATGAAATATATGGAAAAGACAACAACAACAAACTGTTTAGCGAAGTAAGAAGAGATGCCAGTATCGATTACATACATATTCGCGTTACAGAAATTATAACTTTGTTAACAATTCTTGAAAACGCTTCGAAGTGGATATTCATCAAATTTATCTAAATGTTAACTCTATTTATCTAAATGCTAACTCAAATTTATCTAAATTTATCTAAATGTTATCTAAATGTTAAATTTATCTAAATGTTAACTATCTTCGAAGCGTTATCTTGAAAACGCTTCGAAGTGGATATTCATAAAATTTAATTAAATATTTTGAAAAATAAGAACTACTATATATTTTGTTTCTCCTAGCTGTCATTTTAGTGATTTGAAATGTGCCAAATGTGTAACAAAACATCTTAACCTTAGAGGAAAACAACTGCCTTGTCATCATACAAATGAGCCCTGAATTAGTGGCTTGAGACATAACCAATCAGAAGATCTTATTAATTAAACTGAAATAGTTTTAGCATCATAAGAAGTTGTTACGAAGCGTATCTAAATAAGCATACTTTTTAAACAAATTGATGACTTAATGACAATAATTCTTCCGAGGTAACAGATTAAATCTAAACTGAGCTGAATTATCCATTTCGTTGGTGGTCTGAAATATTCATCTCGAATTGTTCGCTGAAATGAAACCTAAGTCCATTGCTATAGACGTTTGATTTTTCTCTTGGCTAACAAACATTCGTTGCCCAATAACTGATTCCTCAATGAATCAAATCTTCATTACTGAGCCGCATCATATTTCAATTGAACAAGCAATAATCACGTAATTGTTACCGAAATTCATCCCCGAGTTACCTCTCAAGTCGTTTTCCTTCTATTCATGTTCCATCAACCAAACACCCAATGACCCAGCTGCAGCCAAAGATTAAGATCCGAATGCCAGATACCAACAGTCATGATTTTCTTTTCACGCAATTTTCGCCTTTTCAATCACGAAGTTTACGCTACTTCTGTACGATTCTGATAGTTTTATTGATAAGAATGGCAACGAAGTCGTCACGATTTGAAGGACTTCTTAATTTGTGAGCTCTACAATTGGAGATGATATCCAAACATCATCTGGAGCACTAATCACATTTAAGTATCTCCATTACCTTCTTACTCTTTCTATTGTTCTGATAATCAAGGCTTAACAAAGATAGACAAAATATTTTGTTCGAGGTAATTAGGAAACAGTACTTCGATGAAATCAGTACAAGCTTTCAATAGACAGCATTTTCATTCGTGTTTGTCTGTTGGAAAGTATACGTTTTATATTTGAACGTTTTGTAATATGAATCTTTAATGGATGCTCAATATCCTTCAAATGAATTCATAAAATTGATTTATATTAAGGCAGAAAAACTTGAATATTGCTTTCTTAAATATCTGGCAATGAATCTCTACTAAACGTACTAATAAAGGTAATTAAGGAAACTTAAATTAAGTGAAAAGAATAACGCATTTATTAGCACTTAATCTGCTAGTTATTGCGTTAACTCCTCTGTCTTTTATTTTTCTGGATCTGTATTTTCAATATGAAAAAAAGGCTGCATTTGAACTCGGAAAGAAGGCTGTAGAGAGAATAGGTTATTTTGAAGCAGGAGGTATGAAAAATGTGCAATGCCCTCACCGGGACTCGAACCCTAGACCTTTCGAATCCGCCTTGAGTATGCTTCCGGTTACCCAACGATGACATGCGGAAAGAAGGGAGGAAATAGCATATATACTCCCACCTTTTAAAGAGCGATTGGAATGAGAAGACCCAATCACCAAATCCAGGTGGTGACGAATTATCTTCGGCGATCTTTTAGTTCGGGGGCAATTTATAGGGACATAAGGATTTTTTGATGCTGGACACGTAAACAATGTCCAGTGCCTTCGCCAGTACTCGAACCATAGTCCTCTCGAATAAGCGTCGAGTGTGCTACCGTTACACCACAAAGGCATGGTGGAACGAGAAAGAAAACACCTTATAAGGCCGTGGACTATTTCTTTTTTTGGAGATTTAATATATAAAGCGAGTGGGGTTTTTGAAAGTAAAAATAAATAATAATTGGAGGTACAGTAAATAACAATTGGTTAGAATAATAGCAATTGGATCTAAAATTTTTATTTGAATATTAAGAGCACTTTTATCCAGTTGATTAATTTTCAGTCTGGAGATTGTTGGAGTTTGCTTAAAGAGAGGATCTCCTTCCACTTGGCAGGTATAGCGTCTCTAGCGTTATACACCAAAAGGTGTATAACGCTAGAGAAATTCAGCTGAACACTGTTTGTAAAGATTTTATGTTAACAAATTTGTAAAATACCGTTCGATTTAAAAAGTATGCTTTCGAGGAGAATACCCTTTACCTTAAGAGGATTTAACATCCTGGAAAATAAAAATTTGATAAACTTTTGATAAATTTAAAAAACTTGACCATCAGTTCAGATATGAAATATTAAAAGAAATACTGAAATTTGAATACTTCGGATTATGCTTCAGAACTGAAATGCAGACTATACTTCGGTATTTAAATACTACGGAAATACTGAAATTTGAATATTTCGGATTATAATCTTCGCCCAAAAGTTTTAAAAGTGTTCAAAATTAAAAATTTCAGTGTTCAAAATTAAAAATTCAGTTTTTAAGTATAAAAAAATAAAGGATTAAGTTTGTAGCGTAACATATAGTATGTTAGAAACGTATTTTATTAATTACATAAAATTCCGAAAACACACCTTGTAGAGGAAAAGTATGAAAGAGGAATATTCCATTTTATAATCAGCAGAAAAATACTGTTAGCAATTTACCTGTACTTTTAAGCAGTTTAATTTCGAGGAAAAGAGTTCATTTGGTTATAACTTAAATGCGTTATAAGTAATATCAGTTTCGTTATATTGATCAGTGCGTTTGTTGCTTTCAAATCGTTTACAGTTCTTTAATCAATACCAGGATTATTGTATCTTTAAAAAAAAGAAAAGAAAAGAAAAAGTCTTATGCTTTACCGAATGACAACGTACGTAAAATAGGCTATGCCCAAAGGCCCAAGAAAAATAAATTAAAGGACTTACGTTTTGCATGGTGGCAAGACTCTCTCTTATTTATTACAATTAACCACTTGCGGGGCTAGCCTAAAATAGTTATTATATTAAAAAAAAAAAAAAAGGGGGGGGGGAAAGAAAAACAAAGAAAAAAAATTCAGATTTTTTTAAACTTTTCATGTGTCACTTTTTTATTAAATATCATGCTCTTCGCACTTAAACCATAAAATTCAATTCAGCAGTATCGCAAAATAATTTAAAAAGAGCATATCTTTAGAATTTTCGATACACTGTCTTGCGCGCTGGAGATAAAAATGTCCCCCCCCCGTACAGTGTTGCCATCGCTCGCTTTGAAATCTTTGACTTTCTTAATCAAAAACTCACAAATGCTTTACAAAATATGAAACCTATAATAAAACAAATTCCACATTAGGGATTCCAGATGCCCATATTCGGTGGAGGATTACGCTATTCAAAATTTGATGGCCGTACCGTTGTTTTATCACAATGTAAGAAACATACCTATGTTTATGCAGACTTTATTATTTAATTTCTTTAAATATAATACAGAGCTCTAATATTTGGTAGCAACAATTTGGAAAGTGATTCAGACTTTTAAAGTTTTCGGCGTAAAATGCCAAAACGAAATTATTAACCCTTCTGGACTAACGCCCTCTGTTCTAATAAATAATGATTTTAATGTATTCATTAAGTATAATTTCTATTCTTTCTGTTAAGTAAGGTATATTTTTTGAGTGTGATTTTAAATATATTAAATAAAATGTTACAAAAATAAAATTTGGAAAGACATGCCATGCAGAACTTTCTTACATAGGATAAATAAAGCTAATCGATAAAGAGCCTCAACGTACTTATAAAAGTGAAACGACAAGTATCACTGTTATTACTAAATCTTGTTTGTAAATTAACATTTAAATAACAAAATTTTGTATAGAAAATAATTATTTATGTGCTTTTCTTACCTAATTCGTTTCCTTTTAAGAAAGGATTTATGAATGGTTCTCGCATCACCTCATATAAGCCTATTTTTAAGTTTATAACAATATAAGCATTAAACAACTTTTCTTCCTTAAATCAGAGCTCTTCTTCTTGAAGATTTTTGAACGTGTTACTAGCAAAGAAAAAAAAATGTGTTATGAAAAACTGATGATCATATTTGATAATTATTAATAAAGATTAATCTATGAGTAAATATATTTGATTAGAAATTTCCACTAGTTTTATTTTAATAATTTTAGTAGACAAAAATTGCTATAAACAAATATTTTAAATCGTTATTGGCTCAAAGTATCTGTTAATTTTGAAAAATCCATTTTTGATAATTTGAGGGAATGATACCGTTTTCGTAATTATTTTTTTGTACGCATAATATTAGATATGCTTAATTTTAGAAAACTTGTTAGCAGATACCTGCTATATATGTTTAAATTATCTGCTCTAGGAATATAGTTTTTTATGAAT